CTCGGCCTGCCTCTCTGCCTACTTGTGACCTCTGTCTGTCAAATAAATAAATAAATCTTAAAAAAAAAAAGATTTTATTTATTATTTATTTGACAGACAGAGATCACAAGTAGGCAGAGAGAGGAGGAAGCAGGCTCCCTACTGAGCAGAGAGCCCGATGTGGGGCTCGATCCCAGGACCCTGAGATCATGACCTGAGCCGAAGGCAGAGGCTTTAACCCACTGAGCCACCCAGGCACCCCCATGATCAATATGTTTAATGACACAGAGGCAGCCCAGATTCAGGGGTCAGAAGGGCTCCAGAGAGGAGGTGAAGCTGTGGTGGGGCTTTGATGAGTGAGTAGGAGTTCGGTGGGGTCTCTGTGAGAGTCAAGAAGGATAATTCTAATTAAGTCATTCAGTCAGTCCTTTGTTCATTTCCTCACACAGGTTCATTCATTCATGAACACATATTGAGTCCTGGGATGCTTAGTAAATAGGGCAGAGCCCCCAAGTGCCTTGTCCCCAGGTGGCCCTCACCACCCCTCGCCCCCAGGCTACATAACCCCAGGGCTCTGTGGGTCTCTGGCTTCCCCATGGCAGTGCTGGGGGCTTGGACATTGAGGCTCTGGCGAAAAGAGAAAGGATGTTGGCACCTGGCCCTTTGCAGGGAGATGGCCCTGGTCTAGAAAGCCTCACGTCCCACTCTGTTCCACGCAGACTTGTGGTTCCAGGCAGTCCTTCGCAGAGCCCTGGGTGACCAGGGATTTCCCACCTCCTGGCCTTTGTTGGGTCTGTGCCCTTCTTCTACATACACAGCCCGCAGGTGAAGCGCAGACAGACACTTCAAGGCTTGAGGACAGGAGCTGCCTGGCTTGGAGACAGGGCCCGGCAGGTGTCGAAATGCCTCCCTGGCTGTTGGAATGAGGCATTGCCAGGCCAAGACACGGAAGGAGAAATTGCTGGCGGCTTGGCTGAGCCTCAGTTGCCTTCTCTGCATCAGTGTGCTCAGGGCTGATGAGACACGGTGTGGACGGGGAGCGTGTGTCCAGGCTCAGCGGGAGGTGGTCGGGGCTCACCCTCACCTCCTTCCATGAGACAAGGTCGGGCTGTTGCTGCTCCTCACCCAGTCCCTCTGATTTCCTTCCAGGTGTCTGCGGTGTTGCTGTGGGCTACCCCCTGGACACAGTAAAGGTAGGGCAATGGCCAGGCCTCCACCACCCACCCTAAGGCCCCTGGCTGGGATTAGGCTGCCCTCCCGGTCTCCTGCATCCATCCGTGGCCAGGAGACCTTTCTGGCCGGCTGATCAGACCAGCCCTCCCCCTGCTCCTCGGGACTACGTCAGCCCCTCTTCTCACCTGTGTGTCAGGGTTCGTGTCTTACGCGGGCTCCCGGTCCTTGCCCTGCCCGCAGTCCGCCACCACGCCTCTGACAATCAAGGCATTGGCTTGTCCCCTCCCCCAGGCCTACTGACCTTGCTGTCGGCCTGAAGCCACCCCTTCCTGAAGTCTGCTTCTCTCGCAGGTCAAGATCCAGACAGAGCCCAGGTACAGGGGCATCTGGCACTGCGTCTGGGACACGTATCGCCGAGAGCGGGTAGGCCGGGGCCCGTGGTAATGGGCAAGAGGATGTCAGGGCCTCGGCCCCAGGCGGGCCACTCCCAATGAGCCAGCCCTGTCCGAGCTTAGCTCTGTCACCTTCCAAATGGGAGGGATTGTACCAAGCTGCTGGGTTTCTCTGAGGATGAGAGCCATGTGTCCAGCACATAGGAGGTGTCCAGAATGAGGTCCTGCCTTCAGGAGAAGGTCCACGGGTGGCATCTGGGGCCTTGGGGGTCAGGGAAGGACCCTGAGTGTTTGTATTTCTGTCCCCTCCAGGCTGGGCACCCCTTGAACGCCATGGTGGGTGACACTGTTAGTTGTCCCATGTCCAGCTCAGAGCCCAGTCCAGAGGAGGGACTCAGGGATACTTAGCAACGTGAACTTGGGGCTCGATGCGGGCCAGGGGTGAACGGATGAGAAAACAGCAACAGTAAAGCACGCTACTCAACGTCATCTTCATCATCAAATAGCTGTCCTAGGTCCAGCCTGGCCATCTGTCTCTTCAGTCCCTCACATCACCTGGAGAGTGGGGTGTTACGATTCCCAGTTTAGGTCACAGAGCCTTGGCTGTGAGAGATGGGCCTGAGGTCCCACGGTCAGGGAGGCCAGGGCAGGGCTGAGACATGGCCCACTCGGCCTGGGGCCCCCGGGGTGGCCCTCTTCCTGGCTGGGCCTCTGGCCTGACTAGGGTCCTCGGGTCCGGTCTGTCTGCCCACCAGGTGTGGGGCTTCTACCGAGGCCTCTCGCTGCCTGTGTGCACCGTGTCCCTGGTCTCGTCCGTGTCTTTTGGCACCTACCGCCACTGCCTGGCACGCATCTGCCGCTTTCGCTATGGCAGCCCCGACGCAAAGCCGGCCAAGACTGACATCACACTGTCCGGATTTGCCTCTGGCCTGGTCCGCGTGAGTGGGGTGGGGGGCGGGGCCCCTCGGGACTGCGGGGTCGGGCGAGGCTGAGAGAGCCACCCAGGAGGCCACCCAGCCCCACAGCGGAGGAAACCCAGGCTTGGGGCAGGGCAGAGACTGGATGAGGGCCGGGGTTGGTGAGTGAGGGCCCAGCTGATTCTCGTTAGCTCGGCGACCTTGGGCGACCTTGGGCGCGCCAGGGAGCCTCTCTGAGCTTCTGTCTCTTCACCAGTAAGAGGCACGGTGAAGCTCCTGTAAGGTTCTCAGTGGAGAGCCCCCGGGATGGAATCAGGTATGAGGGCCCACAGAGCGGTAGCCAGTATTGTTAGTAATATGTCGCTTACTCATGTTAGTAATATGTCGCTTACTCATGTTAGTAATATGTCGCTTACTCATGT